AATGCATAGATATGATTTTAGATTTGGGTGTTTAGATTTTATTTTCTCTGTAGCTTATAACTGGAGCATTAGGCTGGTTTTCTGAAAGTATTAAATATCTATATTTGAAATAAAACTATACTTCCTACTAGTAAGCACTTGTTTTTAGGAAATATAGCACTTTTCCCCTGTATAGTACAATATACTACATAAATGTTACATTCTTTGAGGCAAGAAGTAGTCACAGTAAAGTGCAAACATGGGAAACACCACAAAAATGAAACACCTTCATGCCAATCCTGATGTCTAATTCTCAAATCTAGATGCATTCTATTTATTTTGAGACCTCTCACAGATAGTCTTTATTATGAGTCTCTTATCTGTTTTCTCATTCTGCTCCCGCAGAGTTATGACTGTGATTCCTTTTTCACTCCTATCCTGGAATTCCTTTTCTCACTCCTTTGTGTAGATAGGCTTACCATATTACATGTCTTTTCTTGCCTCATGTTTCTCTTCCAGTTTTGTAGACTATCATCTCTTGTAGCCTCCTCAAAAGCACGTGTGGTCCTCTTTAAGGAGCTTAGAAGCTGTTACTCCATCATAGCATGTGTAAAAGCTGAACAAGCACTTCTATCATTGAGAAATGTGAGGTAATAGGTCACACCATTGTCACTAATTTGGAAAGACAAATAGATAAATATAGAATCAAAACTTACCAGAGCAGAAATTTTCCTGGTAAGTGGTGTCAAGAGCCTGAGCCTGATCAACATGACTCTGACGGTTTATCTTGGTTGTCAACTTGACCGAATTGAACAGCATTTAGGAAATTTGGTAAGCTCATTGATGCATTCAAAATTTGAATAGAGTATTGAGAAGTGGTGGAACTGTTAGAGGTGAGCCTTTGTTGAAGGAAGTAGTATATACTGTGGAACTACATCATGCTCTGGCTCCTTTCTGTTAATTCTCTCCTTCCTGTCCATCATAATGTGAGATGCTCTGCCATGCCCTTCCTACCTGAAACTGAGCAAAGTAATTAATCTCTTTAAGTTGGTCTTCCAGGTATTTACTTGTTGACATCAATGAGAAAGTCCAACTAACACAATGGAGAGGTGAAATAACCAACTCTGTCCCAACTCCTGTAGTTCAGAGGACTCAGCTGGTGAGTCCACAGTCCAGAGGCTCAGGCTCATGAAAAGACCGAGGACTCATCATACATGCACAGAAGTGCCTGCCCCTCCCTCCATAACTACAGCATTGCTGAAGTTCTATTTATCTTTTACCCAGTAACTGCGGTTATCACGGAAGCATAGCATATGTGGGAAGTCAGAAAAGAGCAGACAGAGAGCAAGTGTAACCAAGTCGGACATGGCAAGGATGCTGGGTTATTTTCTGGGAACTGAAAGTGTATGAGATTAATATGTGCAGGGTTTTAATGGCTGAAGTGGTCAGCAATGGGAACCAATAGGCAGAAAGCTAGATGTGTATGTGAGAGCTTCTTCCCAGGGAGAAGGTTACTGAGGAGGGCCTGATGAACCAGCCTGCCTTTATCTTGGACTTAAAAGCCATCTTATAGTAAATGTTCCTATTTACGATTAAATATGTGATGTTCAAGATTAAGCTAGCTACACCTGTAACCTTAGCTACAAATGGTTCTGTGCTGCCTGTTCCAGGAAATGGTAACAATCCTTGGTTGTTATGACCTCCTTGCAGCCTTTGTTTCAGAAGGTTGCTATGACCAACTTGTTATGCTTATGTTCTGCTTCTGTGACACCCCCCACTTATTTCCCCACCAAATCTCCCATTAGGAAACCCCTTACTTCTGAGCTATAGAAACCTTATCTTTCCCACACCCAGTGCTGATCTCTTGAACTCTGCCTTAGGGGGAGGAAGCCTGTGTACACTAATGAGACTTGTTTTAATTAATTCGGCCATGATTTGGGTGGTGGTCCTTCTCTTCACATCTATGGATTAACAGGCTAAGTATGGAGAATATTAGTGCACTTTCTGTTGTGACAAATGCATGATATAATGACTTATCTGTAGGAAATGTTTATCTCATGGTTTCGTGGCTTTTGGTTCATGACCTCTTGCCCCCTTTGCTCTGGGGCTATGGACAGGGGGTTAAATCTCTGGCACTCAGGGCAGAGGGAGCTGCTCATCTCATGGGGTCTGGAAATTAAGAAGAAGACACTACAGTTCCATATCTCCTTTAAGGGCACACCCCTTTCATTAGTTGTAAAAGTTCCACCAATGTTACCAGAGGGAAGGGACCACGCTCTCCACCTGGGTCTTCCTTGTGTCCTCATTGACCAGCAGTGGCTCTTCCCTTTGCAGATGAATATGCATGAGCCAGGACATGCGACCTTGCTCTCCTAGGAAAGCAGAACTTTTCTGAGGTCAAAAGTTCCTTCCTCAGCCTGTGACTACAGCTCTGACAGACTGAAGGACAGAGCTTCCCTTTGGTACTTCTCTGTCTTTCCTTTGCTTAAAATATGTGTATCATATCTTGTAATTTTCCATGTCATAGGAAAAAGAATCTATCCCTTAATATTTTGAATAGCAGACATTCAGATTTTTTCACTGACTGCAGAGTTCTGAACTCACTTTTTTTTTTTTTTTTTTTTTTTTTGGTTTTTCGAGACAGGGTTTCTCTGTGTAGCTTTGCGCCTTTCCTGGGACTCACTTGGTAGCCCAGGCTGGCCTCAAACTCACAGCGATCCACCTGGCTCTGCCTCCCAAGTGCTGGGATTAAAGGCGTGCACCACCACCGCCCGGCTCTGAACTCACTTTTAAAGACAAGTTTTATTATAAAATGTCTTCAAGCCCCATTACTGTTATAATATTAATCTATATACTGATAAGTCCAGACTTGTCTCCAAGAAAGCCCAGCCTCTTTTCCTGAATAAATTATTTTGTGAATTTAATCATGGGATAGCTCTTCCCTCTGTAGACATCTCACATAGTACCAGATATTATTGTAAAAATGTTGAAAGTATAAAGCAGAGGTCTACCAGCATTCATCTTAACTTATCAAATGTAACTCCCGATACTGAATTTAAACATTCCTTGAAATTCTATGATGTAGCACATGAAAATAGAAGATGTGAGTTGTAACTGTTCAGGTGAAATAGAGACTTTGCATATTTGGCTTTTTTTTTTCATTAATTTCAAAGGCTACTACAGTTAGGATTTTGTCATCTTCCAGTACAATAAAGTGACTTCGGAATTTGTGCTGAATACTGTATTAATTATTGTGCCTTGTTGCTGTTCCCCTTACGTGGTGGCTCAGTGGGTAAAGTACTTGTCACACAAACATAAGGACTGGAGACCTGTACACCTGTGTCCCATGATCATCACACACAGCTGCATCCTCACATACAGGTGCATCCTCACACACAGGTGCATGCTCACACATATAGGTGCATCCTCACATACGGGTACATCCTCACACACAGGTGCATCCTGACACACAGGTACATGTTCACACATATAGGTGCATCCTCACATACAGGTACATCCTCACACACAGGTGCATCCTCACACACAGGTGCACCCTCATATATAGGTGCATGCTCACACATAGGTGCATCCTCACACACACACACATAAATGTATAGATGCATCCTCACACACATAGGTGAATCTTCACACATAGTTGCATCCTCACGCACAGGTGCATCCTCACATATAGGTGCATCCTCACACACATAGGTGTATGCTCACACACAGGTGTATCCTCACACACATAGGTGCATACTCACACACAGGTACATCCTCACACATATAAGTGTATCCTCACACACAGGTGCATCCGCATACACAGGTGCATCCTCACACATAGGTGCATACACACACACACACACACACACACACACACACACACACACACACATGTATAGGTGCATCCTCACACACAGGTGCATCCTCACACATAGGTGTGTACACACACACACACACACACACACACACACACACACACACATGCACAGGTGCATCCTCACACATAGGTACATCCTCACACATAAACTTGGGAAATAAAAACGCCTTGATGCGCTTACCTTGACAAGACTTCACTTGATTAGATGTCATTCCTCATCTTCCAGTTAGTCTTTCTGCTGGAGACCAGAGACCGTTGCCTCAGATAGGCCCTTCCTAAACTACAGTCAGGTAGTTTTCCCAGTGCGTTTCCTGTAGATAAGCTCCCAGTGTGCAGACGACATCCTGTTGCTGGTTTCTGAAGTCAGCCTCCCCACTAGACTGAAGTTCCTCTGAGGACATGACTCGTGTGATTTATCTTTACGTAGATGGTACATTATTCAGAGCTTCTGTGAATTATATTGTTGCTTAGTGATTTTGCTGGTTCTACCTAAATTTATGTATGTTTTACTGTGTTTGGGAAATTTTTGTTTTTCTATATAGTGAAAGCCTGAACCATTTCTGTGTTTAGAAACAAAGATACAAATGTTTTAAGAATGATATATTGGGTTGGGGATTTAGCTCAGGGGTAGAGTGCTTGCCGAGCAAGTGCAAGGCCCTGGGTTTGGTCCTTAGCTCCAGAAAAAAAAAAAAAAGAATGATATATTGATATTCCAAATATTAAAATGAATAATAGTTGTGATGGCTTAATATCATGTTATAAATGGAAGACGGGGATTTGGATTTTACAGATGTATGTTTGTTAAAGGAAGATTTCTGACATGGTAATTCCTCGGCCCTACTTTCAGATGAACAACAGAAAGAAATATTGTTGTAGTCTAAGACGTCCAGGGAGCCCAGCTCTCTGTGATGGTTTAAACTTTCCTGTTCGCTCATTGCTTTATTTCATTTTTAGGGCATAAGAACGATTATTCTATAATACAATCAGATAATTAACCCATTTGCTAATTCTCTGAGCGCTTCCTTTCATCGTTTACTCATTTGTAAAATAAAAGGCTTTTTTGTTTGGTTTTGCTTTGTTTGTTCCAGTTGTGTTATAGTTTGTTAAGTCCTCTATGTCTGTTTCTCTTTTCCTTTGTTACCAGTGTAGTGACTATGACTTGGAATTTGGAACAGAGTGCTTGCAGTTGGCCCTAAAATACTGTCACACGAAAGCGAAACTTGTAGAAGGGCCCCCCGAGCTCTGGAAGGTAAGAGAGATTCAGCATGGGAGGCTCTTCTGCTGCATGTGAGTGTGTGTGTGAGTGTGTGAGTGTGTGTGGGGTGTGTGTGTGTGTGTGTGTGTGTGTGTGTGTGTGTGTGTGTGTGTTGTGCTTCCAGTTGTAAGAGAGAGAACTTTGAAGTCAGAGAGTCTCACTTGGTCTTGTGAACATCAGCATGTGAGGATGTTTCTGTTTCTTGGCTTCAAGAAAATTCACCTGGGAATCCTTTAGACATATTTCATTTCGGCCTCTAAGTTTGTTCACTTGCATCTTTTCCCTTGCTCTCTGTGTGCAGCCTTGTTTTATGTTTTCTCAGTGGGTTGAAGCTACAATTCTGTTGCCTACTCCAGCAGCATTTTCTCAGCCCTGGGATGCTAAGCTCCAATTAAACCAAGTTGAAAGCATGTAACTATAACGACTGCTGTGACCCAGGGTGCAGCTGGACCCCCGATGTTCCTCTGACAAGGCCCCAGTCTTCTGAAGGCATGTGTCTTTCTCTCAGGTTGCTGGAGATAAGCTGTGGCATCATCCCTCTGTAGCCTTGTGCCCAGGCAGGTGCAGTCCAGCAAGCCTGCCTTTCCTTCACCAGGGAGAAGTGTGCTGAACTGGAACCGTCCTGAAGGAGTGCAGTAGACCATGCCTGTGAAGTTTAAAACAGGCAGAGCTGCTCAAAGATGCTTTGGAGTCTTGTAATATCTGAGATTCTGGAGAGTTCTGAATACAAGCTCACTAGGAATCCCTGGCTGTCCTGGAACTCATTATGTAGATCAGGCTCTCAGAGACTTGCCTGCCTCTGCCCCTGAATTTTGGGATTAAAGGACTTTGTCACCTTGCTTGGCTACAGTCTACACAGTGAGTGGGCGTTTTTTTTTTTTTTTTTTTTTTTTTTACAATGATGACATGGATCTTGCTGCATGCCAAGATTGCCTCAGACACAAAAGATTGAGTTCTGAAATTCCAGAGTGACATGCTTGGACTGTTGCCTGTTACATAAAGTTGGTGCAGTGTTGTTGCTCATTTAAGAACATCTAAATTTTATCAGCCCAGTAGAAAAATACTCATTTCATCTTTATCCAGCCACGGCTCCTGTGCGCTTCCCTCAGTATGCACTTTGTAAGCACTGCTCAGTCTGTCTAGGAATGTGTCTGAGATCTTGCCTCTGTAGTAAGCCATAGAGTTCAGCTGCGTTTGTTGTCTTTACATCTCACAAGCCATAATGTATTACTAATAGACGATTTGTATGGTTGTTATTGTTAGTGTGCCATCGTCTTCAGGGCTACACGGGAGTAACTATACTAGTGTTATATGAAATCCAGCCCCTGTTACCCTCCCCCAGATAGCACAGACACCCTACTGAGACATCCTCTGTGACTGATTCCCTGGCAGACACACTTCTAGATGCCAGGATCTCTTCCTGGGAAGTGAGTTTGTGTCGAAGGGGTTTTGATGACCGCACATCCTGCTTCACACCCCCTCCCTGCCCCTTGCCCAGTGAATCAGTGTCTGGCTGCAGGTTTGTACTGTGAAATCACCACCACCCTCAGAAAGGTATAGGAAGAGACCCTGATTTCTACCATGTGAGCCCCTACCCCCCATGCTGTCTATCGCTGAACTCTCTTCTTAGACCTGGTCATGCTGTTGTCTGTTTATGACTTGGTAACTTTTCTAATAAATTCCTCATTTCCCAGTTATCCATCTGAGTTCCTTTTGAACTCTCATCCGAAGCCTTTCAGTAACTAGGAGGATTTTGTTAATTATGAGTTAGGTGTTTTGTTAAGGATCTTGATCTCTACCTTTGCCTACTTCATTTCACTATCCAAACTGAGTCTGAGGGCCATAGGGGAGCACACAGTGGAACTCCAAGGCATTGACAACACTCCCTGACTTCACTTCTGACCCTTTGGAAGGTGTGGTTCTTTTTCTTCTGTCTGAGCTTTCATTAAGCTTGTAAAACACATAGATCTGTGGATAAAAGATAAGAAACACATTGCTCTTTAATTTTTCACCCCATCTTCAAATTTATTAATTTTTTGGGGGATATACTCATATTTCATTATTGTTTGTGACTGTTCCCTTGGCTGGGTTCTGTGCCCTGTTGGGCTTTCTCCCCTGCTTTTACTGGCTCCCCTGGTGAGGCACTTTGCATATTTTATGGGTTGAATTCTCTCTCACGCAGATATGTGCTCATGTTCTAAGTGCTGGCATCTGTGCCTGAGACTGTTGGAAAGCATCTGCAGATGCAATCAAGTTATGATAAGATCAAACTGGAGTAGGATAGGCCCTAAGTCCAACATGACTGGTGTCCTTATGTGACAGGAGACCTGGAGACCAGGAGAATAGCACGTGACAACAAAGGCAGGGGGTGGAGGGATGGATCTACAACCCAAAGTCACCAAAGTATTGCTGTCATTCCCTGGAAGCTAGGAAGAGGCCTGGAAGGGATTCCTCCAAAACTCTGAGAGGGAACTGAAACCTGTTCACCTTTGGACTGCAGACTTCAAAGCCCCCAGAAATGAGAAGACAAGTTCTTATTTTTCTGAGCCATCCTATTGACAGTGTTCTGTTTCAGCATCCAAACACACATGCTGCAGGAGTGCCACAGTCTTCCAGGCCTGGTGGGTATCAGGATGATAGCATCATTTCCCCTACAGGAAGAAGCTGGAGTCTCCCAGCTGTGACTTTGGTTTGGCTAACAATGTGCATCAGAGAGTACTGACTCTATAAAGTCTGTAATAAATGGGCTGGGAAACATATCTATATCACTGTTGAGGTTTTTTAGGTACTTACAGTTCTTCTGAATAAAGGGAAAATATTAAAAATGTAATATTGCTGTTGTCTAAGGCTGGGTATCCTTCCCGTATCCTGTCTTGTCTTTTTAGGCTGGGTTTTTCCCCACATCCTGTCCTGTCTTCCTTTTTAGCTTTTTTTTTTTCTGACTATGATCAGTAACAATTTGTGACCAAACACCTTAAACAATGACAAATATCTATAATTTATTTTTTGGGGGGGAATGGGCATCATTCTCCAGACTACTTTCTGTTGTTTTGGGGGCACTGTTATCTTTGAGTGTCCCTGAGAAAATTTAGGATTATGGTCAAGACATGACTGGAGTAGTCTGTGAGGCTGGATCATCTTAGCCAGTTCCCTTGAAGCTGTTCTAGATGCAGAACTCAGAAGGAACTGCAGCAGAGGCGTTCATAGATATTGGGTCATCTGGGACACCCACTGCCGTTGGAGACTTTACAGGATGTCTTCCTTCATCAAACCTGATTTTTTTTTAAACCTGCAATGAATCTGCATCCTCTCACTTCCTTTGGAAACAAAAGCATAACATCTCCCCAAAGTAACATATTTCTTGACTTAAATTTTGAAGTCAAGATAATTTTAAAATATATAGGTTGGTTTAATATAGCAGTTTTCATAATCAAATGTCTCTTAGCAGTTACTATTTGTTCATTAACAGTCAGAAAAATCTAAGAACAACACAAGAACATATAGGATCTAGACTCTCTGGGTTTTTCTCATCTTTATGTGGTTTACTATATTTTTTATTACTCTATTCCTTTTTTAAGAACTTTTTTATTTTAAAACTATATTTTTTAATCTAAGACTGTATATATTCTTTATTTTCCCTCTTCCGAGCCTGTGCACATTTACAAATACACTGTAAACCTTTTAGAGGCATTTTTGTCTGACTCTGTCCTTACTGTACATCTGTAATCTTTTCTGCTTGCACCAGCAGAAATCCTAAACCCGCCACATAGCATGTGACTGGGAGATGCCTCTCTGTACTGCAGCCCACATGAGACTATGGGAACCCACCATGTGACTTAGCTTATGGCATGCTGACAGTTGCCACGAGATGTGTCTCTACCTCAGCAGGTATGAGAGACACAAGACTAAGAAGTTACTCTTGGCTCTTTTTTTGTGTGTTTAAAATTGTTTTTTATGTTTTGTTAGGTCTTATGTGGAAGACCATTGCCATTGGCTGTTCATCTCTTTATTAGATCATCAGGTGCTTTAGACAGGCAAAGAAGCACAGCTTCACCAAGTTAAACAAATGCAACATAAAAGAATGCAACATATCTTTGCATCATTAAACAAATGTTCCACAGCATAAACAAATGTGACACATTTTAAAATAATATTCCATAACAACAAAACATGTTTGTAAAAACTGGCACAGTGACTCATGTTTACAATCTCAGCTGAGGCAGGAGGATTACCATGAGTTTGAAGTCAGTGTCAGTTACATAGTGAATTCCAGGCCAGTCTGAGCCATAGAATATGATTCTATTTAGGAACCAAATACAAAACCACTAGATGTGAGTAATCTTAGTTTTGCTAAGATGATAAAATTGTAATTCCAGTAGCTAGAATGTGATTCAGAAGCCTGATACAGTGAAGCACATATAGGGACATAATTGAGAAGCGTTTCAGTGCCAAGCGCAGCCAGGTACAAGAGGACTCTGAAATAGGGAACAGTCTGCCCTGTCTTGCCCTGGGAAGTCAGGGAGCTCATGCCCTGGTGACGTGCAGGGTGAGCACAGCCTGTAGGACTGTTTAAAGGCCATCAGAAATTCCATGAGGACGTTATTATTTTAAAGTTGACATATATATTTTGATATAAGTGAAGTGAAAAACTCAGACATTCAGGGTTAATACCAGTCTATGCTAGTTCCTTTGATGTCTGAGGAATGCATTATTAATTAACTTTTTAAAAAAGTCCTTACCATATAGGGTAGAGAACCCTTTCCTTATGAACTGGTTTATTCCTCTTCCCTCAAAATGTCCAAACATAGAAAAGTCCTGCTCTGGCTCCTGAGATAGGGGTCAGTACTCCTGGGGTCTCTGAGTAGCTGTGAGTTGGTAGCTTCAATGAGCATTTGTTTTGATGAGATTTGATTATATTTAAGAAGAACCTAAGTGAATATCTGTCCAATGTTTTCCCCCCAGTATACTTTTAGACGCTAGCAGCTCACACTTGTACTCTGTACACTCTGAGCTAAACAGACTTCTTGTTTCTAAATGTCAAAAATGTCTCCAAGGCATGAGATTTATAGCCAGTTCTTGGAGAAATTTAACAACTCCTTCATTGTCTTCAAATGTGTCCCGAGAAGGAGGCTGGGATATTTGTGTCATCACGGCATTACTGGGATGAATGACTGGAAGATTCCTTTGGATTGCCACTAGCTTTTGCAGACCCCATTGTTTCGGCATCTCAGTTTAAAAGCAAAACAGTGGAAGCATTTCTGCTTTGCTCTCAAGCATTCAGCGTGGTAATATCATTTCTGTTGTTGAGTTTCATCATGCAGTTTTCTCAATCTAGGAAATGAAGTTCAAAAATACCCACTGTAAGCAAGGGTACTGAGAAACCTTGAAATGACCATGGTCGGAAGGTTTTTTGTTTTTGTTTTGTTTTGTTTTTTTATAGATATGAAAGGGAGACTAGCCAGAGGTCTTTGGAGGAAGTCGAAGGCAGTCATGGCTACTTCTGTGGGGCAGAGAGGAGAGGGGTGGACTGGCCTGTGCTATCTCTAGAAGCAGAGGAAAGAGTGGGAGCAGGGAAAAACCTCCTGGGTTGTAAAGAAAGCACTTAGCTGCTGAGTAAGGGACCAGGCCTGCAGGCCGATGGCTTTGGTATTCACCATAGGTACATGCCAGGAGGCCAGTGGCTCTTCCTGCCAGATAGAAACTGAGAAATGATGAAAGTGAGCAGCAGCTTTCCATTGTCCATCTCGAGCTGAGTCACGACTGTCGTTTGGGGTTCCCTTTGGACCTGACACCTGTGTCTAGCAAATATCCTATATCTTTCAAGTGTAAGGATTATAGCTATTTTTTTTGCCAAGTATTGGAGTGATGTCTCCTATGAGGTTGTTGTGTGGGGGTTCAAGTGTAATGTACTCTTACTCAAGGAAAGTGGAGGTCACCTTGGCTTGCTTCTGTTTGGGAAGGTCTCTTCTGTGGCTTAGCACATAAAATGAAGAAAATATGTCTAGTATTCCCAGGTGAAGTGCTTGTTGGGAGCCGAGGGAAACATGGCCTGCTTGTGTGAACTTCAAGTTTCTCTTTTGTTGACTTTCTCAGCTAAACACATGACTCAGAGGACTCACTGCACAGACACGACCATGTGAAGGAGACATAACTGAGCTGTACTTGGTGAGGGGCAGGTGTAGGCTAGCATGACTCTCCTTGTACAAACTGCCTACACTGATCTTCATGGGCGCTCCAGAGGCTCTAGTGAGTTTGAAAACCAGTCAGTGAGAAAAACATCAACATGTTTGTCCATTACTACAAGAGTTTTTAAAGTAATTATTTCCAATAGTTGGTGTTGTGCAAGGTCAAAGGAAAAGCCCAGATCACACTACAGAAGGAAATCAATTTCAGCACTTGATCTCACCCCAAAGGCTGAGAAATGCTGAAAACCAACTTCAAAAGTGACCGTCAGGATGCTTTTGTAATGTTTTGTTTCCTTAAAAATAAAGAAAGGACAACTCATTTTTTAAAAAAGTTAGAGAAGTGAATAACACATCATTTTAAAATTATGACATTTTCCAGTAATATTCCCTTTGAAGTACATTAGCTGTTTTATTTAGGAAAAAACAGATTTTTCCCTCTAACTAGGATCTGGCTATGTAGTTCATAGCTCAGGCAAGCCTCAAATCACTGTGTAGACTAACTTAGCCTCAATTCACCCTCCTCCTGCCTCAGTCTCCAGATGCTGGATTATTGATGAGTGTCGCTATGCCTGGCTTCAAAGCTGTTCTTGAAAGCATACTACATGTTGATCTGAGTAAAAAAAAAAAAAGTTAATCTTTGTTATTCGTAAGTAATGGCAGTGTTTTAAGTTTTAAGAATTCTAAAAGCTATTTTAGTATTTGGTGATAAACTTACATAAGCTTAAAAATCAACTATTAGTATTAATTTGAATTTAGAATGTAGTTTATCTCTCAAAGCAGGAGAAAATAAAAAATGAATAGTTAACTAAGTATATTCTTGATTTCAGTCTGGAGTTTAAGCTCTACAACAGACAATGACTACACAAATTATTTATTTATTCAAATTACAAATATTAGGTATTTTGGAATTCAGGTATCTAATTAACCTTAGCTTAAGAAAGAGTTTACACCTAGCTTTACTCAGTTTCACAGAAAGTCCTTGATGGAAGCGATGTCCCTGCAGGTGAAAGGTCAGCCGGCTCCCTTCATTGCTCGAATCTCAGAACTCTGAGCAGCAGCTAGAGCATTTTATAAACATTTATTGGAACCAGATACATTACATTTGGCAATCTATGGAGTGAGCTTGTTCTTCTTTTCTAGAATGCAGAACGGCACCGCGGATAGTAACTGCAGTGCTGAGGGTCACGGACATCAGTGCATTGTGCTTTCTTTAGACTGTATTGTGATGCCACCTTTGATTTTATTGAATTGTTAAATGGTCCAGTAGACTTCCATCTTCCTTTCTGAGTTTGCTATTACTGTAACTCTGAAGAGTATGCCATCATCAATTACTGTAGGGTAAGGGTCCAGCAGACGAATCTAATTCAGAGAAGTGCCCAGGTCTTCCTGAACTAAAAAGACAGCTGTACAAATCTGTGGATGAGATGATTTAGGGGAAGGAAATCCAACCTTAGAGTCTGGTAAGGTACTAGTTAAGTGAGGGTTGTCAACATGAGGTTTCGGTCATTGGCATCATTAATCAACTGAGTATTTAATTGATGGGCCTATTGGACCTTATTATAGTTACTTAATACTGTTTTATTGTCCACCCTGTGCTCTAGCTCCATAATAAAGGACACCAGTTCTGCAGGTGTTCTGTGTCTGGACTCACTGGATGGCCTCTGGGAAGGATCTGCCAAGACCAGACCTACACATCATGTAGGATACTTTAAGATGATCAGGGTGCCATGCAATTATGAGCAAGGTGTTTGCTATTAAGGAAGGATCTTAGGCATACTCTGGTACCCTGTAGACTATTTTTGATAGGAACTGTGTTTTAAGGTGCGACTAACCTGATTCATAAAGACCTTCGCAATTCAGAAGTTCCTTGAAATGTAAATTAGTCTCTGAGAATTTCAGTTTAGAATGGGGCTGGTGACTTTTGTTGTGTGGAGACCCCTTCCTCTTTCAGCCCTCCCCCTCTCCTCTCCCTCCCTCATCTCTAATTCTCCCTCCTTATTTTCCAATATAAAACCTTATAGAGCAATAGTCTGAATACTTTTGTTTGAACACTTCTACATTTTCTTTGATTATAAAACCCTAGGTATACTAATCATATTTCAGTAACCACTGCTATATGCTATCCTCATTTATTCAAAGATATAAGACTTGGATCTTCATAATTTGTTGAAATTGAATTTGATTTAATGTGAATGTCAAATGCTGCTTTCGTTTGGAAATTGCCTGTGTTGTGTGTGTAGTTTCTCCAGGAGGAAGAATTTCCTTGGGGGCATTGTTTTATTACTTTCACATTCCTGCCTGTTCTGTTGAGTCTAATGAGGTTTCTCTGTCCCTTAGGTGACCTACAAACAAGATCTGTATGCAGCCGAATCACTGATTAAGGGTATGTTTGACCTTGTGGCTGTCAGCTCCTATGTTTGAGGAAATGTGAGTTAGCTAAGGATTTCGTGGGACAGTTAAATCCCAGCCATTTTAGGAGGAAAGATGCCTGGAGGCCACGGAGGTCTCTGATTGTGTTTTGAAAATAATTGTATTTTGTTTTGTTTCCTGCTTGTGAAATAACACTTATTATGCCACATTAGCCTATTAAGTATGAAGCATCAATACTATTGGAAGGGTAACTGTAGAAACTGATATTTCAATAAAACTTGTGAAGGTCTCTCTGCTTTACTGCTTAGAAGGCTGTCCCTGCCCCTCAGCACTGTCCTGTCAGAGCACTGGGGAGTGTCCTCCATATGACAGCTTATGGAACTTAGAACAATTAGACTAGATAATTTGTAAAACAAAACAAAACAGAAAAAGAAACTTATTTTTTCCTGACAATGACTGCAATTTTTTTTCAAGTTCAGTGATCATGTATGTGGAAGCACCCCTTCTTTTCATCACTGTAGCCTTTAAGGTCCCACATAGTGTATTTAATAACCATAAAGTACTTATTACTGTGCTGGGGGTTGTACTCAGCACCCAGAAAGGACGTTCTGTCTGTGTTCTGCAGTCTATTTGGTTTCAGAGTTCTCAAGGGCAGCACCACATAGCCGTCAGCTGAGCCTTGCATTTCAGGAGGCATTTGTACTTGGTTTACTAGTCCCCTAGCTACACCAAGGAGATGTTGGCAACACTGTCTTTACACCTTGACTGTGACCATGAAAAGCATCTCTTGAAGTTGTCGAATATCACAAGGGATGAAGTTGCCCCTTCCTAAGAACCCCCATTTTAAACACTCAGTCTTACACACCAGAGATGTTCCCTCTGACTCTGAGACAACAGGAAGCTGCTGATTGTTTTCATCAAAATTAGATTCTGGGCAAAATGATATGCTCCAGTTTTGGCTGTGAAGTAAACTCCTGAATTCAGTCTCTTGCTGTGTGGGGAAGAGCAGTAGGCCTGGACGCATGGTTTTGGTTTAGAGTTTTAGGAAAGCGGTTGGCCATCAGTTGGCCTCACATGTGGAAAGCTGAGCACTTCTCTAATCGTGAGGCCGTTTGCACTTACCCTCAGATTTGTTTCTCTTCAGGAATATTTTGTTTCAAACCATTAATGTTATATAATTTGTTTCTGTGTTTGTAAATAGTTAATCTATAACCATAAATCAAAAAGTTGGCATATATTTACATTATCAGCCAGGCAATATATAAATATTTCTTTATGAATGGCTGGCTAAGCCATACTGTGGTTGTTTATACCGTTAACACAAAGAAATAGAAAACTCAGTTTGATTTTATTTCCAAGAAAGTTCTGCATTGCTCAAGTAGAGTGCTGGTGTGATGTGAGCAGTATGTAGTTAAGTGTCTCAACTGCCAATTCTCCATGTTGTAATACTTCTCCCACATATTATCATAGCCAGCAGATATGCAAAAAGAAGTATTTTAAGCTAATTGTTTTCTTATTTAGATAACAGTTTCTAACATATTTTCAAAGTATTCTATTTTATTCTGAGAGTGATCTGATCTGTCTAGGTATAAGCAGTTGATTTAGTTGGGAACTCAAGAGTTTCCATATTCTTTAAAGCTTATATTTCTAAGACTCCAGAGGAGATTCTGATGTTACTGGACCTACATAGGTCTACATCTCTGGGACCTTCATACTCTGCATGTAGCCAGGCCAGCAGTCATGTCATTTCCTCACACCCTGAGATTTTAGTCTTCAATACCACTCTTTGAATCAGAATCTATTTTCATAAGAACCTCAGGTAATTATGTCATAAATCAAATTCAAGAAGCATTCTTCTAGGCTGCCCCTGAGAGTCTCTTATAGGTCACATCTATCTAGGCTATTTTTGCTACATTACAAGTTTGGAATCTTGCTATTCTTCACCCAAGATTACTACCTTCTTCATGACCTGTACTAAATGCCAACACTGATAATTGAAGTACCTTTAGAAACAAGAGAAAGAAAATTTTTGGAGTTTTGTTTTGGATTTCTAAGGTTGTGAGATGTAGCAGTGTCTGGCAGTGTATCCCTATAATCCTAGTGCTGGGGAGACTGACAGGCACATCCTTGAAGCTCACTGGAAAGCCAGCCTAGGTGAGCTCAGGGTTAGTGAGAGATCCTGCCTCAAAGTCAGGTGGAGAGCAACTGACCGTGACACCCAGTCTATGGCCCATATGCACCTGCACAGCCACACACACTCTTGCCACACACATACATACAAATTGTTAAATATAATGTGGTTAGCAGACATCTGCTAACTATTCTCAGGCTTACCTTTTCCAACTAAATCAAATAGGGTTATCTGTTATTTCCACTGGTCGAAAATAAGACCACTACCACACTTTTAGGCAAAATTTGAAACAAGCTTTAATTAAATACTGGCCAGGATGATGGACTCTGGCCAGGGCCATTCTGGGGTTCCCAGAAAATGGTGACAAGTCACATTTTGCAAAGGCTTATAAATGCAAGCCAATAAATGTATTTCCCTCCAGGTTCAATCAGGGGAAAGCATATATCCTGGCATACTTCCTGCCTGTGTACCGACAGCCTACATCCAACCAGGGGCAAGCATACATCCTGATGTGTTTCCCACCTCTGTACCGCCAGCCTACATCCAACCAGGGGCAAGCATGCATCCTGATGTGTTTCCCACCTCTGTACCTCCCATGTGATCAAGCACAGCCTGTGTACAAACTTGTTTAGATGAGGGAAAACGTGTGGCTTGTTATCTTCCATAAGCAATTAATATAAATATGAATATGAATAAAGCCTCCAGCAGTTCAGGAACTATCTTTTCTAGGGCAAGGAGCTTAGAAGTTAGAGGCATTTTTGTTTTATGGGTCTCTTAGGCACAGTAATTGAAACTTAAAACATCACTTTAGAACTCATTTCCAGGGAAAGCAATTTGATACACACAGGTATAGATTACAGGAAGCGATTCAGCTCAGCAGTGGTAGGAAGATGGGCCATAGACACAGATCCATGGAATTGCCTGCTACCACCCCAAGAGTTCCTTTAAGAATTCTCCTCTAAGGTGAAGTTTAGATTCTTGACTTTGCTGCAAAAATAATTTTAGAAGAAGTCTGTATTAAGCAGAATTGGAGTTTATAAGATGTTTTTAGGTCATGGGTTAGTAGAAAAGTACTTAGGGAAGGGGTACAACCCCAGTGTGGGTGTGGGCTTCTCATGTATTTGATGTCAATGGGTTTTGAAGTTCCACCTTCCCAGAGTTGCTAAGAAACTTAAATGAGATCATTGGGTGGTTCCTGAGATATACAGACAAAAGGATTGAAGGACGAATTGCATTTGGTACTGTAAAACCCAAGATCATAAGAATTGCATGGGAAGTTAAGATGTTTTCACTGTCAACAAAAGTTAATAGACTTGCTGATGAGACTCCCAGATAATATCTGGGAGAGGATAAGGCAATATTTGGGGGTATATGTATGCCTGAAGCATGTTTCATTGCTGTTTTAATATTAAGTATCTGTATATAAATGAATATTATCTCCACATTAGCAGCCTTCAGAGCACATATCATTAACTGTGCTGGAATTCTTGATTCCCAATTGCTTTGAGTCTTCATCCAGACCCATGAGTGAGGCACTTCTCTCCTTTTCCATGTCCCTTAATCTTTCCTGTCTTTCTAGCTGCCATCTGTAAGCTGGAGGGCCACGAAAGTCTGTGGTGTTGTGTCCATCAAAACCCAAAGCTCAGAGAACCAGGATAGCATTATTGTTTGCACCAAAACTGAGACCAAGTGCAAGAGAAGGATGTTCCAGCTTCAGTGAGGGAGAATTCTCCCTTCCAGCCTTTCTGGCCTATTCTCATGTGAATTTGGATGGACTGCATGCTCCTGTCTCCATGTTGATGAGGCCATGACTTTGTTTAGTCTGACCATGTTTGTTGACCTCTTCCAGAAACTCTAGCTCCCTCACAGATACAATCAGAGCTTAATAGCTATTTGAGCAGTCCTTTCTCAGACAAATTGTTGCATAAAATTAACAATCACATTTAATAAATGGTCAAAGTTGTTTTGTGGTTTATATGTTTTAATTTACTTGTACTCCGTATTGCATCCAAGCAGTGATGGTCTTGAACATGCTGGGCAAGTGGTCTACAACTGACCTGCACTCCCAGCCCTCTTTTTACTTTTTTTTTTTTTTTTTTTTTTTGTTGTTGTTGTTTTTCGAGACAGGGTTTCTCTGTGTAGCTTTGCGCCTTTCCTGGGACTCACTTGGTAGCCCAGGCTGGCCTCGAACTCACAGAGATCCGCCTGGCTCTGCCTCCCGAGTGCTGGGATTAAAGGCGTGCGCCACCACCGCCCGGCTCTTTTTACTTTTTATTCTGACACTGAGTCTCTCTATGTTGCCAAGCTGTCCTTTAGCTTCCAATCTTCCTTCCTATGTTAGCCTCTTGAGTATATGGAACCACAGGCTGGCTTCACAATACACTTATGAGCACTGATTTCTAACATATTGGGCTTTAGCCTTGTATTGAACATTGCTTGGAGCATTTTGTCTATAGCTCTTTATTATCCCCAAATCAATGACATAGGCAGTGTTATGATTTCTGTATTATGATACATTCAAGTGTTCCAGGTAACAACTTACTTGAGAATGATGGGAAATAACTTCTTAAATGTAAAGCCCTGCCTTAGGTTGTTTCTCCTGCCTTAGGTAAGTACTTAGCGTCTCTTTATATGGAACCCGTAGGCTGCCTGTAGTTTTGTATGCTCAGAAGCTAATGCACATCATTTCTCTATAATAGTTTTTATTTATTCTTTGATAATTCCCACATGTATGAAATGCATCTTGGTCATACCCACCCCGAACTCACCACTTCACTCCCTAGATACCTTCCCAACACATCCCTTTATTCATGTCTGTATTCAAGTTTCCTCCCCCTCATCCCCCTTTTAACTCTGTGCAGTTAGTGTTGCCTCTTGGGATG